TATATTACGAATAATTCTCTTTATTTATTTGTTTCAAAAATTTGCTCTCTTTGGCATTTGTTTTTGGAGAGTGGGGTTCATCCTCATATTTTCCCAGGTCTTTTCTAATTCCTCTGTTCCTTTTAATTTCCTGCTTTTTCAGGATGGGCCAGGAGCCTCTTACAATATTCTTTGGACTGAGTTTATATTTTTTCGATTATTCAGAGTAACATATGCATAAAACGAGTAAATCTTTATTTTAAAAATATTGACTATTAATTACTTTCATAGAAAATCTTGATGCCTTCATGGTAACAGTCTCTGTCTTTTTACTGTGTCTTACCAAAGACTCTCATCTCTCAAGGGCCAGAAAGGGAAGGAAAATAAGTGTGTGAAGGGCATCAGATAACCCATTCTACATGTGTATGGAGTGATGATCACAGTAAGCCAGCAGTAGGTGGGATTTTCCTTTTAGAGTACATTATTAATATGTTCTCTTCATCAGAAAAGTTAGCAGATTACACCACCTTTCAACAGTTATATTACTTCACTCCCATTTTTGTATGGTTGAATTTGGCAAGGAGAGTTATGTGTTATTTTAATAAGAAATGCAGACAAAAGTCTTCCTAGATCATTCACAAATGCAAAAAATTAGACTAGATAGATACATTCATCCATTAGACGCTATCAACTTTTTGTTTAAACTTTATAAACTAGTTCCTATCAAAACTTAACCATTGCCTACTTTTGTAACTCTGTCAACTACTAGGTTTATTTTAAATCCATAAAGCAGTGTGCTGAACAGCACCTTTGCAACCTGTAAAAATTAATGTAAAACACAGATCATTTATACAAATCTAATAAAACAACTTGACTGAAAAAGAAAGGCACAAGTTTGTGTGGCTGTTTGGGAAGTAGCAAGGCTAAGAGGAGGCTTTATTTAACTTACTTTATGTGGTACAAGGTAGACCTGAGCAAATTCATAAAGGGAGTGATACAGTAATGAGAAGGCAATTAGGGATTCAGGTGAGAAAACAAGTGACAGTTGGATCAAGTTCCTTTAATTTGGGTAGACATCTGACCAACAGTCAAGAAGGAGGGTTAGTTCTAGAAGGAGAGTCTGAAAGGGGGAGGAGGTTAGGTGGTGAGGAGAGGAATTTGGGGCTGGAAAGGAAGTCTGGTCCTAGCTGAAGTCTTCCCAATAATGAGGTTCATGCTTGAGTTTAAAGGATCATTTCTTCATGATCCCCTGAGTGTAGGATCTAGTGGTAACAGCTATATGACACAGATTTCAGTATATCCAAGGAAGCTCTTCCTAGCAATCTGAACTGTCCATAAATAGAAAGATGATCCCAGGAGGTACTGGGTTCCAACCCTTGTTACATGCCAGGGAAACCTACCTAGCAGATTGCTGCAGAGAAGATACAGATATGGAATAAAGAATGTTTCACAAGAAAAATGGACATTTGTTTCAGAGGCATTCAGTTGCCACCCCATTGAACTCCTTTGTTCCCTCTTTTCTACTTTGAAAATCCATAGTTAATCCAGTAAAAATAAGGGATTACTTACTTATCTAATCAATTCAATAACAGGAAACTTTCTGTTTCCTTAGATAAACAGGTAGAAAGGAAAAGGATGGTGGATCTAGATAGCTTTTATTCTGACCATATTTATCAAACATCACTAAGTATCCATCTTAGTAAATTTCATTCATATCCAATCACTATCACAGGTATTTTAAGGAAGAACTGACTCTGATTTGTCCACTTCTTCAACTTTAAGATTAAAAACATTCAAGGTTCAACATCTAACTATGTATATCTTCTATAGTCTAAGAGCCTTGTTTATAAAAAGAAAATTGCTTGAAAAACACTTATAATGTAGATTGGAGAGCCTGCCAAATCCAACTCTTCCTCCTGATCACTGCTATTTCTTTGGTGTCATGTTATCTTTAAATGAAAGCAAAACCAAATAGTGAGCCTTTCATGCTGAATAATTCAAAAGAATGTTTGAGTTTCTTATTAGGGATGCTTCATTAAGTTCACACCTAGCTCATGGACCAAGTTTTTAAATGTCTGATATCTTGCTAGCATGCTCTCTAGCCCACTGGGTATGACCATCACACATGAAAAACACCATTAGGATCATTATCTTTGACAGTGAAGAAGTGTAGACTTACCACTACTGAGAATGCTCTTTCCAGCTTCTCTTCATGCTGCATTTATAAGGCAGTTTTTTAGGAAATGAGGCTCCAGAAATCTTGGTGCTTACCTTGCAGGTACAGGAGCTTACAGGTACAGGATCAGAGAGCCCACTGCACGGGTGAGTCAGATTGATGGTTTCACAATAAGAATGGGTTTCCTCGACTGAATTTAGCATAGAAGCCACTGTTCTTTCTGCCTGTCTAATACGTGATATACTTTTGCCCACATAAAGACTTACTCTACATTAGAATGAATAATTTTAAAAATTTTCTCGATTTTTTTTCTCTGTGAAGGACAGGCTACGTTGTAGTCCCTGGGTCACATCAATCTGAACTAACCACCCACAAGAGTGTTCCAATATGCTGTTTTTAACTGTATAACATTCTTTATACTTTCTTGCTAACTTATGTACAGAATATCATTCTATGATGAACTTAAGATAATTCACACATAATATCATAACTAATAATACCTTTGAGACCAGGCTATTTTGGGGTGATGAAAATGTTCTGAACTCGGATTTTGGTGAAGTCTGTAAAATTTTGTAAAATTTTACTAAAAATCATTGAATTGTACATGTAGTGAATTTAATGATATATAAATTATATCTCAGTAAAGCTGTTTTAAAAAAAGAAATTTGGCATTATTTCCTAGTTAAGTTTGATGTGGGTGAAATTTTCCCAGAAGATTTTATGCTGGGCTAAAATTTCATGCCTGTTTATGTCTGAAATATAGGTGAATGTTCAGTAAGTACCTCCTATGATTGAGTTTCCTTTCCCATATCCCATCTCATCCAATTTGGAGAATTACACTAAACAGCTCCCAGAAAACTAAATTAGTTCATAGGTTATCTGAAGCAACTCTGGTACCATGGAGTATAGTAAAAATTTCAAATCAACCTGATACAGCTATGAGCAATCATTTCCTATTTAAACTGATAGCCCCACAAAAGGAAATGAAAAAAAAATTAAGCATTTTAAAGAAAGACTTAAAGATCATGCTATGTTTTAAGATGTATAATCACCTATATAATAGCCCAGTTAAAGGGGCAGACTGCACTAAACTGGTAGACCTAGCTATAGCCCACAGAGAAACACCTGGACAGTATGTGGTCATCAGTGGAGTCCATCACAGGCAATAGGTAGTTACTATCACGTCCATCCCAATTTTGGGCTCAATGTAGAACTGTGGGCATTCTGGAAAGGAATTTATGAAGACAAACTAGGTAGTCTACAGAGACAGAGATAGGGGTTCAAGAATGAAAAATAGGAAGCCATTCTAAGTGGATTAAACTTCATTTAGTGGCAGACTACAAAGAACAATGGCAGTGTCCAGCCTCTAGTACTGAGGCAGAAGGTCAAAGCAAGCTAAGCCATTGGTGAACCTGAAGCTGATTTGCTTTAGAGCATTACCTAGACTTCCTTACATTCCCTGATTTGTCCCAGGACCCTGGCTGGGGGTTCAGCCAGGGGCTAAGTGGCCCCAGCTGTAGAAACTAAAGAGAGCTATGATGTTGGAAGCCCCGCACATCATTACGATGGCTGTAATCTGGGATGTGTGACCTCTCATTCGTACACTAGCAAAGCATTCAGCTGATTGGGACCTGCTGGCTTCTATGCCCTCCTCTTTTGGCAGAAATTGCAGCTTGACTCTTCTCTCCCCTCCCTTCTTTCCCCACCCCTTCTTACACATACTTCGTGGAGTTTGAAGTGGAGACTTTCTAAAACTGACTTGCCTGCAGTAAGATTTGGGTTGGGGGACACTTGTCTGTAATATCCAGTTGAATATGCTCACTGCTTTCAGAATTGAAAACAAACTCTCTATGACTTGGGTGTTCACATTTATATCTAAAATCCAAACTTTAAAATTTAGAAAGGCACAATAACATGGAGTAAATAGTTTGTCAATTTATAGACTAAATTTAAAAAAAAACTAGTCAATTTCTCTCTCTCCTCTCATAAGCTTAGGTGGGATGATGATAATGAATTTCAACCCAGCATTACTTTTCAAGCAGTCTTATTCAAGCACACAAAATCTCAAGCTTTCAGACAATCACATTTTTAACAAGATGAATTCAATAGTTTACCATCCTGCCAAAATAAGAAAAATACAAAGAGAAATCTAAAATCACAGTAGAATGAAAATGCTACATATTCATAGGCTGTGAGTCCCTCCAACCAGAACGAAAATACATAGGGTGAGTGTCCAAAAACAATTCTGCAAGTCAATACAATAAATCAGGCCCAGATGTCACGAACACAATAAATCAATTGAAACTGCCAAACCACTCTTCTCAACCTACTGGATTTAATTAAAACCACCACTCAGTTCATGAGAGGCCTTCTAATAGAGTAGATAATATCACTCAGACTCAACCATCCACCCAAACCTGGTGTGGGAGACACAGCATGTTAAATTTTAATCTAGGAGCCTATTAAGCATGGCAGGGTTTCGTCCACATCTTCAGTAATGCTCTGCCATCCCTTCTAGGTCCTCTTCTCATCCTCTGAAAGCATTCACTGACAATGCCTTCAATCAGCCTTTACCATTGTAATACAATAAGTGCCAGGTAAACGCTGCAGGAATATTGACTCGCTGGCCTTTGTTTTGCGTTGAAAATACAGCACAGCCATTGAAGAGACTAGCATTTTAATTAAATAAGGAGTGACATGGGTGCTTCATAGTTTTAAGTTCTTTAGTGAGTCTTCCTAAGATATTCCAACCCTAGCCTGGTGTCTAGAAAGATCTATTCCCAAACAACCGATAAATGCCACTCAGAAAGACAGAAAGAGGGGGGAAAAATGAAACACTCACGAGCTATTATGAGTTCACAAGGCTGGCACACGGCACAGGTTTCCAGGCATCTTCTAGGGCTGGAGGTTAGGAATCTCAATGGCCCTTAAATAGAAAAGATCCCTTGCATTTAGTGCAGAAAAGACACAGAGACACCCTCCCACGAAGTTGTTTTAACTTGAAGGATCACATTATTCATCATGAACAATCTCTAAACTCAGTCAGCAGAAGCCTTCCTGGCACTTTCCTTGTGTATACTTGGCTCCATTTTATGAAGACAGAACAGACTATGTTTGGCATTTTTGCCTTGAGTTATTGACATGTTTTAAATTATGCTGTTTTATGTCCATTCTTAATAGAACAGAAATCTGCTACAAACAATCTTTATTAACAGACTGCCTCAGGTGCTGAGACTCTCGATTTAACAACGTCTCCAAACAGACAGGCAGGGAGCTTGTTAATACGCTTTTCCAACCCTTTGGCTTCTGTGAGACCTAAGTGGATTATGGAGGTTTGTTTGTCAGGCTATCTTTTTACATCACTGTCTAAATAATTGTCACTAAGGCCTATTGCTTTGACCTAATTAACAAAATGTACAAAATCCTGAGCATGAAACTTTTATTGATTAGCCATCTCCACGGAAAGTTATGAACCCCTCGGACTCAGCCCCAGACAGATGTTCTTGGTGATGATACACACTGGACTACAGTCTGTTAATATACCAGGACTTGTCTTAGCATATTGAGCTACTCAGAAAGTGTCACAAAAAAATCACATTTATTGGTTGTAGGTTAAAAATCAGTATCCTTGACACGAGACCAATTCTTAGGCATATTTTACCACGTTTACCATAAAACTTAATAGTATCAGTTTCAATTTTTTTTTCCCTTAGAAAATGATCCTTGGGAAGGTGGTTTCAATAGTAAAAAAAGAACAAAAAAAAAAAAAAAAAACAAAAAACAAAAAAAAAATTGTTAAAGAAGAAAAAAAAGTTTTATCTGAATGAAGAAAAAAATGAGAGTAAAACATGACTTGAAGTAGAAAACGGACTTGAGGGAAAAAAAAGTTTATTGTTCAAACACTTTTCATTAACTAAAGAAGTACTTGAACAAATACAATACTTCAGGGCTTATGCGTCAGAAGACAGTTCCAGGCACCGAAACTAAACTAGGGAGTGATAAGACGAACAGCGTCCCTGCTCTTGTGGAGTTTTATTAGCAACAGTAGCAGATTTTTGAAAAGCCTCGGTACTGAGGCCCATGAACTATTTCCACATTAGATTATACTCACAATAGTCCCCCTAGTTCACAGATTCACTTTCTGTGGTTTCAATTAACCCAAGGTTAACAGTGGTCCGAAAACAGTCCATGGAAAATTCCAGGATGAAACAATTCCTCAGTTTTAAATTATGCGCCGTCCTGAAGAGCGCGGCGAAATCTCGCGCAGGCGCAATCTGTCCCGATCGGCCGTAAGTCACTCCCTCAACTGGCGTGCTCTGCCGTCAGTCACTCTGGGCTTGCGTCATCAGATCAGCGAGTGGTATCATACAGCTTCGGTTCACGTAACCCTTACTTCACTTACTAATGGTCCCAGAGCCGGAGAGCAGTGATGCTGGTAATTCAGTATGCCAAAGAGAAGCCATGAAGTGCTTCCTTTAAGTGAAAAGGTGAAAGTTCTTGCCTTAATAAGGCAAAAAAAAGTTACGGTGCTGAGGTTAAGCTCTACAATAAGAACACATCTTCTATGTGTGAAATGATGAAAAAGGAGAGAGTAATCTGTGGAAGTTTTATTGTCACCCTTCAAACTACAAAAGTTACAGCCAAGGTGTATTTTAAATGCTTAGCTGAGATGGAGAAGGCATTAAATTTGTGCAGTAAGATATCTGTATGTATGACTGAAACTTGTTATACACCAAGAATTGATACAACATTGTAAACTGACTGTACGTCAATAAAACAAAAAAGGGGGGGGGGAAGATATCTGAGACCACATTCACGTAACTTTTATTACAGTACATTGCTATATTTGTTCTATTTTACTATTTATTATTGTTAATTTCTTACTGTGGTTCCATACAATCTGAGCTTTCAGGCATTCATGGAAGTGGGGGGAGGGAGGCTTGGAACACATCCCCTGCAGATAAGTGGTGACGACTGTAACTTTCCTTGGGAACTCAGCAGAAAGCCCATAGGATGAAAAATTCTCTTTGATGACTTAGGAAGTTAAGATTGGCCATGAGAAAATAAGCTCTGTACATCATTTTATGTAATATTCAGAAGGTATATATTGAAAAGGCTACTACAGACATTTTTTTCAGTTTAAGAAGACATAGGATCTGTTTTTTTGGGGGGGTGGGTAATTAGGTTTACTTATTTTTAGAGGAGGTACTAGGGGTTAAACCCAAGACCTGGAGCATGCAAAGCATGTGCTCTAGCACTTGAGCTATACCCTCCCCCTCAGGATCTGGTCTTAAGGAAGTCCAATTAAAAATGGAGAGCAGGACAATTTAAAATTTCTCAATACACACACAGACAGGTTAGAAAGTTTTGACTGAATTTACGTTTTTGTTTTTTAAATCAGCCAAGTAACTACAATATGGCTGCATAGCAAGCAATAGGTTAAATTCAAACAGTTGAATGAGCTCTAGTTGGGAACTCAGCTAGAACAACATTCATACGATTGAATTAATTCAGAAAGCTTAAAGGCCCAAAAGTAGGTTGACTGCAGGTAGACTGCAGTTTTTCTTTCTTCTTTGCCAGTGCAAAAGGGGCAATAGCATTTTTTTTTAATTTGAAAATGAGATCTTGTCTAATCTTGGGAATTTATGGTGAATTTTGGAGAAAGTTTCACCCTGGAGAATTCTATACATATAGTCATAAGCATATACACATGGGCATCTGTCAACACAAAACAATTCACCAGAAATGGGATGAGCATCTGTTGTGTGTGCCCTCATGAAGATAAGTGTCACAGTAGTTGTCTTCTAACATGCAAAACGAACATCAGAGTAGAGGAGGACCAAAAGTTAGATAGGTCATGGTCAATGGGCTGAACAGAATATAATAGCTTGACTATTCTTCAGGTGAGGATAGATTATGCCAGGAAAAGGCAACCTCTCCTGCACCATTAGCTCTTCTGAAAGCTTCCGGGAAATTGAACGGAAAGCAGAGACTTTCTTCTTTTGGATCAGCAGCAATCATAATAACAACAACAATAATTAATAAAAGCTATCATTTGATGAGAGCTGACATTGTACCCCATTTACTCAGTTAATGGTTTACATTTATGAATTTCATTAATCTTAACACTCTGCAAAAGTTGATAAGACTATTATCTCTATTTTACGTGTGATGATACAGAGGGAGCAGCAACTTGCTCAAAATCACAAAGCCAATGAGAGGTAGAATCAGTATTTAAACCTTCTCTGAAGCTCATGCCGCCATGCACTGCACTAGATTTCCCAGGGTTTTGACTGATGCACAGGCATTTTTGGTGGTTGTGAAGTGGTGGGGGTGGCAGTTCATCACTCTGTCCAGCCAGTTGTTTTCCCTGGATTTTGTAAGAGATCATGTTTAAGGTAAACTGGTTATCACCTGCCTAGACACAAGTGATTTACAATTATTTCTTTATTAAGAAAATGTTCAGTGTGTGAGTGGTCTCTCTCTGAAAAAGTGCCAACAAAGAGGCCTTGTCAGTTTTTTGGCAGAGACACATCTAAACACATAAAAACAAGTTTAAACACTATCATTTCTGCATAATTCTTTCTTGGCATCATCTCTCACTTGCCACAATTTGCAGCCAGAAAACACTTATTTCTACTTTTTTTACTCTAGAAATAATCCAGCCTTAAGTGGATCTAATTCCTCCCCAGAAGAGAAACAGCCTTGTCAGGACTTGGTTGTGTGTGCTATGTTTGAGGCATCAAGGTTTCCATTTACTGCACAGCTGCACGGACTCCGGAAGCTGGTGTTAAGCCAGAGCTCTGTACCCACTGAGATCTGCAGTCTGGAATGATAAACACACAGCTGCCTGTGGCAAGGGCCACAGGCATAATAGATGGCCACGTCTCAACCACAGTCAGGCAAAGCCAGGACAAATCATTAATCCCACTGCTCATATGTTAAATATCACAAAACATGTACAAAATAGTGAGCTGTCTCCATGGAAGACGGTGGTGATAGGAGGGGGGAAAGGCGGAAGCAATTTAAGGGAACAGGAGAGAGTAAGTGGCTGTAAGTCCTTTGTAAAGTCCTGCTGGAGAGCTGATTTACTGCCACGAAGCCCTCTTGCTGCATATAGTTCATAAAGCCTATGACCTACGCACTTGCCCACAGGACCACAATAACATTTATCTAGCATAAATTAATGTGTTTCAACCACTAATTCAATTTGGCCTGCCTCATTCTTCTGGTTTTGGCAAAGCTGAGCCTTGCTATAAAGTCACTGGGTGACTCACATGAATGGCTGTTTGTTAAGGAGTCACACACCACCAGGAACAAAGAGTGCTATTAGTTGAGTAGTCATAAAAATCTACCTCCAGTGCACATGTGGAGCTGTGCTAATTGAAACTTCCTCTTTAGAGGGGTCTAATCAAAACCAGCTGTAGGAGTCAAGCAGGAGCCGATTTCAACATCGCATTAAAAGCCCAGCAGATTCAGAGACAGCGGCAGCATCTGAAGCAAGAGGGCATTCTGGCTGAATAGGTGCTCTATAATTGGCCCCTGACATGCTGCAAAAGAGAGCTTGTGACCTGAACCTGGAGAGCAGTGGAGGGAAAAACCTTCTCCTCAAGCATCATTTGAAAAAAGAAACCCATAGCGCAGTTCCCCTCATAAAATTCCAGATCTGCCAACCTTTTCAAGGAACACGTGGGAAAAAACCGCTAAGGCCTAGTGAATTTAAGAAAATGAAATGGGATATTGTTCTGAAAAGATAAAGACAAGAGCTTAAATATTTTTGTTGTAGTTTAGCCTTTTAAGAACAGCCCATTAGCATTAAAAAGAAAAACACGATGTCCAGCACATAGAGGAGCAAACAAACAAAATCCAAGTAAAAGGCAAAAACATGGAGGAAACACAGCAACACAGACTGTACTTAAACAGGAAAATGAGAACTATCTCCTTCTCTCTGGCTGTATATGCATTTCCTCTTCTAAGACATAAGGGCAGCATTCTGCCAGTATGTATAGAAGCAAAATGCATCCATAGCTTTCCCTTTTCTGTTTGTTTTACTTGAGAGTTGTTTAGCCATTTGTAAAAGAAGCAGTCATTGATAGATGATTATAAATAGCATATC